TGAATTTGGAAATTACACAAAACTGAAACAACAAATAAAATTAATTTTGCAATGTTTTTCTGTATTCAAGTTTTCTCTCTTTTTGTTGATTTATAGTTTTTTTTTTCTAAATGTTTTTCTTTTTCTAGATTTCTAGATTTTGTTTAATTATAGTTTTTAAATTTGAGATTGTTTTGAAAAGTAAAAATAATTAAATAAACTCAAAAAATTGGAAAAAACCGCAAAACTTCAAAAACAAAACGTCCGGAATTGGGAAATTACAAAAAACTGAAAAAACAAACAAAATTAATTTTGCAATGTTTTTCTGTTTTCAAATTTTCTCCCTTTTTGTTGATTTATAGTTCATTTTTCTTCTAAATGTTTTTATTTTTCTCCTTTATTTGATTCCATTTTTATTTATCTTTTTTAACATGTTTTCAACTTTTTATTCTCTTTTTTTAACTCTGCTTTTCCAGTTTTTCAGGGTTTATAATTGGAATCACAAAATTTTGTTTAATTATAGTTTGAGGTTTTTTGACTTTTTTGAATTACTTTTGAAAACCCTTAAGTGTTTACTTATTAATTTTTTTATTTACGTCCATTCAGGATTTCTAGTTTTTTTACGTTATTTTTTGAGTTTTATTTACGATTTTTTATACTTTTTTAGCTAGGTATATGATTATTTCAGTTTGTTGCTCATTTCATGTTTCCACTTTTTCGAAGAATTTAAGTTTATTCAGCTTTTTTTCTACTTTGCTTTTAAATTTTTTCTGTTTAGTTTTTCTCCAATATTTTAGAATTTGATAAACCAAAAAGGACCTACTTGTGCCGGCATTTTCTCCAAGAAAAGCAACAACTGGAAATTGCCATCATTGATCATAAAATTGGCTTGTCGAATGATGGAATGTAAAGAAGCCTGCGAAGTGACCAACAATTGGGTCAACCAAGTCTCAACACTCCCTTCAGCCCTGACCGCCTTCTCCAATTGGATCATTTCCCCTTCGGAGGAGATGATCGCTGTGATTTTATTATACTCGATATCGTGGAATTTAACCCATCTGGTGTTGTCAAAAATGGACAGGAGATGGTTCTGGATGGTGTGCGAATCGGAGGCTTGACCCAGAATCTCCAAAAGGGCTGGATCCGAGACGAAGAAGAACCTCGGAAACATCATCCTCTTCCGTTCCAAATACCCACTCAAGGATTTCTGACACAACTCCAACTGTTCTTGCAAATGAGGCAAGAGTTGCTTGAGCATGTCATCCCCGACACAACACGCCACAACTCCTGGAGTTTCGTGTGCTCTTTGCATGATTTTCTGCCAGGATTTGTCGATTTTCGAGAAACGTTTGGCTTCTTTCGGGAGTTGTTTGGCGATGTCGCCACCGACGAACACGGCCTCCAGGTACACCCACATGTTCTGGACCAGCAACCAGCGTTCGAGGATCTCGTTGGTGTTGGATAAGTCGTGGACCCATTGCTGGATCTGTTTCCGGAATGGGGCGTTGTAGCGGTTTGAAAGGAGGGATCCAAGGACCATCAAACTGTCCTCGAGTTGGCCAATGGTCTCAGCTGTGGTGTCCCCACGCAAGAGCAACTCTCCACGATTGTTGAATGTCATGAAGGTTAGCTCATGGACCGACCATTCGTTTGTCACTTGACGGAGTTTGGCTTCGATGTCTTTTTCTTTCATAGCCGAAATACAAATGTCCTAGAAGAGCAAAATATTTTTTTTAACTATTAAAAAATAAATCTTCTGTGTTAAAATCAAGGAAAAGTGGATGAAAGATCGCTGAAATTGCTTTATTTGGACAGAAAACTGTATTTAAACAATTATTTTGTTGAAATACATTGATTTAGTTTGATTTCTGACTTAAAACCGAGCTAAGTCTATTGAAACTAGCACAAATTGCTTTATTTTGGCCTCAAATTGGAATTTAATCAATTATTTTTACATTTAAAATAATTTCTGAGTTAAAATCGAGCAAAATTACATTGGAAATGACGAAAATTGCTTTATTTTAGCAAAAATCCGTTATTTTAACATTTATTTTGTTGAAATTTATTGATTTAGGTTGATTTCTAGCTTAAAATTGAGCCAAATCGAATGAAAATAGCACAAATTATTTCATTTTGCCAAAAATCTATTATTTTAACATTTATTTTGTTGAAATTTATTAATTTAGGTTGATTTCTAGCTTAAAATTCAGCCAAATCGATTGGAAATTGAAAAAATTGCTTTATTTTGGCTTAAAATTGAAATTTGAGCAATTATTTTTATAAAATTCATTGGTTTGATTGATTTGTATTAAAATCGAGCAAAATTAGATTGGAATTAGCTCAAATTGCTTTATTTTGGCAGAAAACTTTTATTTCAACTTTTATTTTGTTGAAATACATTGATTTAGGTTAATTTCTGGCTTAAAATTAAGCAAAATCGATTGGAAATATCAAAAATTGCATAATTTTAACCCAGAATGGAAATTTGACAATTATTTTATAAAATACATTTATTTTGAATGACGAACATTGCTTTATTTTAGCAAAAATCCGTTATTTTAACATTTTTTTGTTGAAATTTATTGATTTAGGTTGATTTCTTGCTTAAAATTGAGCCAAATCGATTGGAAATAGAACACATTATTTTATTTTGGCTTAAAATTGAAATTTAAGCAATTATTTTTATAAAATACATTGATATAGAATGATTTCTGCTTTATTTTGACAAAAATCCGTTATTTTAACATTTATTTTGTTGAAATTCATTAATTTAGGTTGCCAAATCGATTGAAAATAGCACAAATTATTTCATTTTGGCTTAAAATTGAAATGTAAGCAATTATTTTTATAAAATACATTGATATAAGATGATTTTTGCTTTATTTTGACAAAAATTCATTATTTTAACATTTATTTTGTCGAAATTCATTGATCTAGGTTGATTTCTAGCTTAAAATGCAGCCAAATCGATTGGAAATTGCAAAAATTGCTTCATTTTGGCCTAAAATTGAAATTAAAGCAATTATTTCTATAAAATTCATTGGTTTTGATTGATTTCTGTATTAAAATCTAGCAAAATTAGATTGGAGTTAGCTCAAATTGTTTTATTTTGGCAGAAAACTTTTATTTCAACATTTATTTTGTTGAAATACATTGGTTTAGGTTAATTTCTGGCGTATAATTAAGCAAAATCGATTGTAAATAGCACAAATTGCATAATTTTAACCTAGAATTGAAGTTTAAGCAATTATTTTTTAAATACATTTATTTTGAATGACGAAAATTGCTTTATTTTAGCAAAAATTCGTTGTTCTAACATTTATTTTGTTGAAATTTATTGATTTACGTTGACTTCTTGCTTAAAATTGAGCCAAAACGATTGAAAATAGCGCACATTATTTTATTTTGGCTTAAAATTGAAATTTAAGCAATTATTTTTATAAAATACATTGATATAGGGTGATTTCTGCTTTATTTTGACAAAAATCCGTTATTTTAACATTTATTTTGTTGAAATTCATTGATTTAGGTTGATTTCTAGCTTAAAATTCAGCCAAATCGATTGGAAATTGCATAAATTGCAATAAATGCATTTTGGCTTAAAATTGAAATTTAAGCAATTATTTTTCTATATAATTTCTATAAAATTCATTAGTTTTCATTGATTTCTTTATTAAAATTGAGCAAAATTAGATTGGAATTAGTTCAAATTGCTTTATTTTGGCAGAAAACTCCTATTTAGTTGAAATACATTGATTTAAGTTAATTTCTGGCTTAAAATTAAGCAAAATTGATTGGAAATAGCACATATTGCTTAATTTTAACCTAGAATAGAAATTTGAGCGATTATTTTTATGAAATTCATTTATTTTGAATGATTCCGGTGTTAAAATAGAGCAAAATTGAATTGGAAATAGCTCACATTGCTTTATTTTTGCAGAAAACTGTTATTTATTTATTTATTTTCTTGAAATACCTTGATTCAAGTTAATATTAAGTTTTTAATATTCATCATTCTATTTTTTGCCATCGAAACAAAGCAAAAAATAACCACTCACTTCAATATCTTCTTTGTGTTGGAGTAAAGGCGCTTCAAGGATGTTTTTCAGGCAAAAACCTTCACTTTCAAATTCAAAAATGTGCTTCAACGAGTCCATAATTCTTTGCCAATGTCGTGGTTTCATCGCTTTGTTTGCCATCAGTTCCAAAAGGGGGCACATATCATTGAAATCGTCAATGGTTTTCTTCAAGGCGAAGAAAGCGGGCCATTCTTTCAGACCTTTGGGGAGTTTGCGACAGCGATTTTGAAACTCCATTAACTCGTTATTGATTTCTTCAATATTAACCTCCCCCCACGGAATATCGTAGTAACTTGTAACTCGATCAATGACGTCGTTGTAAAGTTTGTATAACTTTTGCAAAAGGTTCAACTCTTTGCGAATTTGAGCCAAATCGGGGTAATCGGTTTGGGGTAACCCGAAGAGTTCTTCGCCACTTTGGTACGTTTGGAGTTTGCGCCACATACCATCAAACCGGTTCTGAAATTGTCAAATTGTCAAACAATTTAGTTTTTCTACAGGGTGTTTCGTCTAAACCCCACATTAGAAGTTTTGGGAGTTTCAATAATCGTATTTTTTTGAAAATTGGTATATAGCCATAATCCATTAAGTTCTCCTAAATGAAAATATTTTCAAGATGGCGGCACTTCCTGTTACCCCGGAAGTGGATATCAACTTTGTTATTTAAAATTTTTATTGCGTTTTTAGATTACTTAAATGATTTTGAGAGAGTTTTCATTAACCTTCCCTATATCTAAGTTTAACCTAGCTAAAAAAGTATAAAAAATTGTAAATAAAACTCAAAAAATAACGTAAAAAACTAGAAATTGTGCATGGACGTAAATAAAAAAATTAATACGTAAAAACTTAAGGGTTTAAATTGAAAATAATTCAAAAATATACACCAAAAAAAGTCCAAACAATCTCAAATTTGAAAACTATAATTAAACAAAATCTAGAAATTTTATAAGTTTATAATTAAAATTATAAACCCCGAAAAACTGGAAAAGCAGAGTTAAAAAATGAAAGAATAACAAAAAGTTGAAAACACGTTAAAAAACTTTGAAAGGTAAATAATAAAGGAGAAAAATAAAAACATTTAGAAGAAAAATAAACTATAAATCAACAAAAAGAGAGAAAACTTGAACACAGAAAAACATTGCAAAATTAATTTTGTTTGTTTTATGAGTTTTTTATAATTTCCCAATTCAGGACGATTGTTTTTGAATTTTTGCTGTTTTTTCCAATTTTTTGAGTTTATTTAATTATTTTTACTTATCATACTTTGTATTCAAAATTTCAGCCTTTTCATTCTACTTTTTTACTTTCTTTTTTTGAAGGTTTTATACTCTTTGAATTCTTTATCTCAACTTTTGGTGCTTTCAGTTTTTTTTGTTCTTTTTACCTTTTCAATTCAAAAAAGTCCTGGAATTATTCATTTTTTCAATTATTCTGTTTATTTCGCTTACAAAGTTTTTTCTCCAATTTTATGATAATTTCGAAATTATGGGAGTTTAAGTTTTATTTCTTTTTATTTTTATTTTTATTTATTTTTGCTGGAAAAACTATTTTCCATGTTTTTTGCTGTAGGAGGCTATTAGAAGAGGAAATAAAATTTTTGTATCTTTACTAAATGATAATGAAACATATAAGATCATCAGAATCATTAAATAGACATAAAAAATTGTCAAATGTCAAAAAATAAATATCAAAATTTTTGGCAGATAGAATTTTTTAAACATTTTTTCCATGTTCGCGCGAGTTCTGGCGCACCCTGTATTTAGACCAATTTAATTTTTTTTTTATTTGAACCTTTCTGTTCAAAAATCGATAACTCTACCACTTTTTATTATATTGAGGGTATACGAGAGTGAAAGGTTAGATCTATCCTTTGGTGTATTTATAATTAGAAAAATAATTAACAAACCGCCAGAATTTTTCCAAATGAAATACCCCAATTTTTATTTTACTCAAGTTATGGTGACTTTTTGTTAAGACTACAAAAAATTTATTACTAACCAAACCCGTTTTCACATAGTTTTGCTATGGAAATCAAATATGTCAAAATTTTCTCTAAACAAACGTCAACAAATAGTGCCAAAATATGGAATCAAAGTTGCTCAAACTTAGATTTAATGAATTTATTTTGTACAAATCGATGCAGAATTAAATTCTCTTCCATTTAGTAAAATAAAAATTGAGGTATTTCATTTGGAAAAATAGAGTTATGAGTATTTGAATTATTACAAAGTAACCTTAAAATTTTGAGGTTGTTATTTTTTTATTTAATTTGAAAACACCAGAAGAAAGATGTAAGCTTTCTCTTTCAAACGTCACAAAAACAAATTCCAAATTTAAAAAAATGGCAGAGTTACCCATTTTTAAATTGGAAGGTGCAGATCCAAAAATTTTTTAAAAACTCTAAATATTCCAAAAACGGCTAAATTTAGCTGATGAAAACGCTCTTAAAATAACCCGATTAATCCAAAAATGCAGTAAAAAATATAACTTTCCATTTAAAATAAGAAAGTTGAGACCGACTTCCGGTATAACCGGAAGTGCCGCCATCTTGAAAATATTTTTATTTAGAAGGGCTTAATGGATTATAGCTATGTACCAATTTTCAAATAAATAAGATTATTCTAACTCATATTACTTCTAATATGGGGTTTAGAGGGAACCCCTGTATATATATTTTTTTTACTTGGAAGAGAATAAGTCGGTCGGAGGCTTCACGAGGGCTAAGCCCTGGTTGCATGGGTCCAGCAGTGCGGTACTCATTGCAATAATCAATTTTATCTTGACGAAACTTCTCCAAATTTGAACGCAAATCTTGCTGGAATTGGGGCTGCATTTCTAGGAGGTGCACGTGGACTTTTAGAGCATTTTTCAAGAGGCGATTCCACGTGTCTCTCAGATTGTCCACTTGTTCCATTATTTCGCGTTCAAATATTACATCGTATCGATTTAAAACGTTGAAAGCTTCCTACAAGCCAATATTGAGGGTTTATAAAAACCAAAGAGAAAATTTACTTCAATTGGATCAATTTTCAACTCCATGTCTACTTCTTGTTCCCGGATTTTTTTCAATGTGTCCATTATTAGGCGAACGTCGTCCAAATCGCGAATTGTGCGTTCCAATTTTCGCTCCATTTCGCTTATCACAGCATAGACGTAGTCCATTTCGCGTCTATACTTTTTCTTCATTGCTTGGCCAATTCTTAGTCAAAATTCACAAAATTAGACACAAATTTTAAGTAGAGGAATTTACATCATGTTTTTCCTAAATTTTGGTCTATTTCAACAAAGTGGAGTTACTAGAATTTAAAAAAATACAAAAACGAGCATCCAAATTAGAATTCCAAGTTTTGAAAATTAAAATTTTTGTTTGGTTGAACTACAAAAAAATACCAACAAATAAATTTAAAATTTAATTATGAATTGTGTCTTTGAAGGAAAATTTAAGCTTTGAAAAGAAAAATTCTGAATTTAAGAACAAAAATTTCAAAATTCAAAATT